CCGATTTCTGGGGCCCATAAAGCATTTACAGGCCGGTTCCCTCCAGGCTACCCGAGATAGGGTTATTAGCCAGGAAACAACTCTTTTTTCTTTTTTTTTTTTTTTTTCTTTCTTTTTTTGTAATATATACGCAGTGGTTTCGAATAAACCTCCCCTCAAAGCCTCCTGTTTTCTCTTAGCAAATAGAATTTCCGGGTCTTTTTAAAGTTTCGTGTTTTCTTGCTGCCACTCTGGACGGCGAACATTACAGCCCTGTTCGCGCCGCTATTGCCGAGGCTGCTCCCCGGTTAGATTGGGTCCAAAAGGGAGGGATTGGGCTACATGGAATCATTGCTTCTCTCTGCGTGGGATTATTATTAGTTTAATCCAACGCCTTTATGGCGGAAAGGGGAGGAATTAGCTCTGTTCTCTGCTGTTTTCAGCCTGGGTTTCGGGGCGGGTGGGGCGGTGTGGGCGGCAGGAGCGGGGCAGGGTCCTTTGTCCCTGCCCGAGCCGCACATTTCGGGATCCCATTTCGGGATCACGCGTCGTATTTTGCAGCGGGGCGATTTTTAAACCTGCCGCACCGGGCGGCCCCGGCCCCTCTCACACGCAGCAGTTGAAGCCCCTTCCCAGCTAAATCATGCACAAAACCCGCCTCACCTCGGACCCACCGACTTCTCCGCGGACCGTCGTGTCCCCCCCGACCTTTAGGAAGTGTCGGGAGGCTGGGCCCGCTCCCCCCGGCCACCATCTCGATCCCAGCCCCGATCTCGATCCTGATCCCGATCGCGGCCCCGCTCCCGGCCCCCGCCGCCGCCACCACCTTTCCTGTGCTGTCCTTAGGGGTCCTCCAGGCTATAGCCCCGGAATTTGAGGCTGGGGGGCACGGGCATGGCGTTGCCCCCCAGGTGCCAGCTCCAGAGCGGGTGAGTTTTGGAGAGAGCCCAAGAGTTTTTGCCGCCCAGGGAGGAGGCAGGACACAGGTCCCCATCGTCCCCCACGATCAGCGAGGGAATACACGGGAAGCTGCCCATGAGACTGAAGGAATTGCGTGGCGGGGGCGGCCCCGCGCTGCCCAGCCGCTTGCAGGGAGGGTTTCCCTTCCTGGCTTTCCTCCTTGGGGTCTTTGGTGGCCGCCCCTTCGGGGAGCTCTGTCGCTCGGCGCCTCTGGCGACGCGGCAGCGCTTGGGGACTCTCTCCGAGCCGGGACTCTCAGCGCCTTTGGCCGCGGGAGGGTCGCAGGGCTCCGTCCTCCCGCCGAGCCGCAAACTTTTGGCGTCCACGTTGAAGCCCTTCGCGTAGCACCAGAGCTTGGACTGCCGGATGAGGCGGTCGAAATGCTCCCTGCGCGGCTCCCCGGGCGGCGGCACCGAGGCCGGCCCGGGCTCTGGCGGGGGGCCGGGCCGCGTCTCCGCCCGCTCGGCCGGGCCTAACGAGCCGCTATTGTCCGAGGCTGCTTTGTGCAAATCGTCCCCTTTGGAGCAGGGCTCGGCGGCCCCCCCGCCGCGCTGCTTTTGTTGCGGCTTCTCCCCGGGGGTGCTGCTCGGGGAGGGAGCGGGGGAGCAGCAGCAGGAGGAGGAGGAGGAGGAGGAAGGGGAGGCCTCCTGCTTCACGTGCAGCTCCGGCTGCGCCGCCGAGCCCAGCACTGCTGGAGCCGCACTCCAACTTTCCAAAGTTGCTGCTCGCCAAGTCCGGGCCCAGAGCTGCTGCGAGAGGAAGAGGAGGCCGGGCTCGGCACGCGGGGCTTTGCCCGCGCTCGGGGGCGGCTCCGCGGCACGCTCGGAGCCCGAGGGCTCGCGGGGGGGCTGCAAGCGGGGCAGAGCCGCTTGCCGGTACCGAGTGCTCTGCACTGAGTCCCCGCTGCACAGCGAGCTGCTCTCTGACTCCGAGGAGCTGCCTTCCTCGCTGCTGCACGACGAGTCCCCCTCCTCCTCCTCTTCCTCCTCCTCCGACGAGTCGCTGGAGGTGGCCGGGCTGGAACCGCCGAAGTCCAGGCTGGAGTCCGAGTCGCTGGAGTAGCCTGCGGACGTGCCCTGCCGCTTGGAGCCAGGGCAGCCGCAGGCGCGGCCTTTCCTGGCGCCCCCGGGACCCTTCTCCCCCGGGAAGAGCCCCTGGGAGCAGCGCGGCCCGGCGGGAGCGGAGGGGAGCGCGGCGCGGAGCAGCGGCCGCTCCCGCGGGCAGCCGCGCAGGCCGAGCGCGCCCCGGGCGGCCAGGCCGAAGCCCTTCGCGCCCCGCGGGGGCTTCTCGTAGCCACCCACGGGCTGCGGCAGCAGCGGGGTGGCCGAGCGAGCCCTGCGAGGCGCAGGGGGCCCCGTGGGGTGCCCGGGACCCTCGCAGCAGCCCCCGCCTCGGCAGGAGAAGAGCTGCCCCGGCTCGTGCAGCAGCAGCTGCTCCCTCCGCTTGCTCTTCCTCTTCCTCTTCCTCCTGCGCGGGCTGAGGCTCTTGCAGGAGGTGCACAGAGCCTCCAGGTCTGCCTTGGATATGAGCGAGCACTTCACGGCACGGGTGGGCACCGAATTGATGGCTTTGAGGGTCCGCAGCTCCTTGAGATCGCAGCGCCGGCTCTTGATCTTTAAGGTCTCCATCTTCTTGCTGATGGTGGTCCTGGGAATATCCTTAAACAGGTCATTGAGGACCTGGGCCAGTGCAAACATCTGGGTGCCATTGATCTGTAAGTATCCCAAGTTTATCCCTTCGATTTCTTGATAGCCAGCATGAAAATCCCCCGGCCTGGCTTCCCCATTGTAATCCATGGTAGTCGGAACAATTCCGAAGGTCCCTTCGCAGGTCAGGAACATTTTGCAAGGAGCATTTACTTTGTCCCTTTCAAAGGGGGCATTGAAAATAAGGACATATTTGTTTCCACTCCCTGATCACACATCCCTACCCTTCGGGAGAGGGGGGGGAGGAAGGAAAAAAAAAAAAAAAAAAAAGCCAAACACGCCGAAGTCCTTTTCAGAAGCTCCACTCAATGGTTTGCAACATCTTCCGAGCACCCCATTCCTCCGCCTGGGCCGGGGGTCGTCTCCTCGTGTGCCCCCTCCCCGGCAAAAAAAGAAAGAAAAATAAAGAAGTCAAACATGTTGCCTCGTGCAGGCTCCGCGCCGCACACCGCACAGCCCCTTCCTCGGGCAAAATAAGCTCTTTGAGGGGGGAGGCGCGGGGAGGAAAGGCGGGGGAGCGGAATCAACAAGCGCAGCCCCCCTCTTTTGCTCTTCGAAGCGCCGAGATGCTTAAGCGAACAAAGCTGCCGACCAGAGGCTGGGAGGGTCGCGGAGGGGCTTGCAGGGGAGAAGCCCCCCCGGCTCCACGGCGGCCGGAGCCCCGCGCACCCCTGGGCGCAGCGGAGCCCCGCGCGCTGATTGGGCGCGGCGCGCCCGTGACGTCACAAAACCCCAACATTTCACACGCGCCCCCCGCGCCCCCGGCCCCGCCGCCCGCGCCGCTCCCGCCCGCACCCAGCGCGGGACCGCGCGGGACCGGGSCGTACAATGGGCAGGGG